GTACTTGTTGTATGGTTTAGTGCCCCATGCATGAGCAATGCTATTGATAGTCCACACGGAGTGCGATGTAATCATGTATCGTATGAATACTTGCGACATGAGAGCCCTACCCCAAGTCTCGTTCCAAAAATATACAGGTATCGCCGTAGGTAGGATAACGCAGAAAAAAAGTTGAAGAGGCAAGAAGTACCTGTAAAAATGCAACTCTGATTTTTTGGAATTTATTTTAGCGCGTTATATATTTATTTTATAAATCTGAAAATTGAATCTAAAGATTACTTAATAGAAAGGGAAAGAGAATATCTTCGAGAATTTAAGTTTTGTGTAAAAAAAATTAAAATACTGTACTGTACAAAGGAATAATTCAAAGGAATAAATAAAGAAGAAAATATATGATAAAAAATATAACAAATGCTCAAACATGTTATGCTCCCATAAATGTTATAGTTGAAGTTTGGAGCGTCTACGATGTCTAATTATACAAAGAAACATATGTAGACATATATAGACATAATAAATGTAACAAAAAACGTGCGGATATATCGGGTTAAACGGAGCGCTTAGGACTTCGACTGTTGAGAATTTTCGTTTCTTCTTGGAGAATGTCTGCGCATTTGTACATTTTGGCACAAAGCGGAAAAACAGTCGTTAGAAATTTTTTATTTTACATGTACAAGTACACGCGAGTACTTCGGATTAGACGAACCACTTTCGGGCCTCGACTGTTAAAAATTTGTTTCTTTTGACGTAATTCACGTAATAAATCTTGGGGAATGTCCACGCACTTTGAGCATTTTAACACAAAGTTAGTAATTTTTCGTTAGTAATTTTTCATTTACATATACAAGTCGTCATTACATATATGCATGGATACTTTGGAGCTTAACCGAGCATTTTTGGGTCTTGACCATTAACAAACTATTTTATTTTTATGGTCAAGAATCTTAGAGATTGCTTTTATACTTATATATTTTACCACAAATCACAGCGTTTTTATGAAGATTTTATTCTGCTCTCTTTTTTATTTTCTGTTATTTGTTTATTACTTTTAAATTATAGTTTTTTGTTATAATTTTATGGTTTTTTATATAAATATACATATTTTTATAATTTCTTTAATTATATAAGGCAATTTTTTAATTTTTAACCAACTTCAAAAAGAAGATTCTCAATTCGGCGAGTGTATGTGGATACGTATGTAGATATGTTCATGATTTTCTCTACTGAAACTGGACGCATTTGAATGCGGTTTTCACTGTCTTATACAGCAATTCTCTATGAAAGTTTTTTTTTTATAAACTCTTCAAACTTTATTTGCGTCTCATAAATGCTCAAAAACATGTGCACACTAGAAATGTTATCATACATTTATATCTATTTGCTTTATTTGAAGTTTTTATTCAAAAATAATAGAAATGTAAACTATATAAAAAATGCACATAGTCTATAACTGATTAAATTTACCTTTCTCCAAAAGCCACGACAGGATCTGATAAAACATCTGATAAATCGAGCTGCTTGCTTTTTCTAATAAATTCCGGATGCTCTTTCATCATTACCCATCCCATATGCGTATAAAAGAAACCGCGCTGAGTGTTGTGGGGATCGCCATTAGTGTCACAATACTTGTGATGCATACGATGATTTTTTACCCAATTGTATACCGAATTCTAAAAGCAAACAATGAAAATTTTATTTACATATTTACAACTGTGTTAAAAAATACAGATAAAACAACACATAAATAATTGCAAGGTTTGTATTTAAAAACGAAAGAAGAAGAAAGGGCTCGCGAATAAAACTAGATATATGTGCTAAAAAGGGGTAACTCTGAGAAAGATGCCAATCCGTCGAAGATGCCACTTTGTTAATATTTCGTTCATTATCTGATAGGTTGTAATGTTTTCTAGTTGTTAATGTGGGGATTGTTTATATAACATGTGTGACACGTGCAAACTTCTTCAATTTTATCGTATAAGATGCGTAAAATCTGGGAAGAATCAAAGGTAGCATCTTCTCCCTCATCATTGGAAAAATGCTATTTTAGGAAAAACATATTAGCTTGACGGACTATTTTATTTACACGAATACTGACGTACAATTTTTGTATTCTTATATATTAGTTTTTTAAATAATGAATGCTATAATATTCGATAAATGTATATCTGAAACAAAAATATTAATTTTTCTGAAATTGTTCCCGGCAAATTGCCCCGGCATTTTTCAATTTAAAAATTTGTCTTTGCGTCACTTTTCCTTTCTTGGGGGCAAAACTAAGCGACGCCGCGACGTACGGGAACATGGAAAAATCAATATAGTTATCAAATGCAGAATTGTAGTTGCCACAACCACAATAAATAGTAATATTTTGGACAGCCATATCTGTGGTTGTCACACCCACATTGTGGTTATGCTGCCGTACTGCCGTAGTTGAGCTACAATCTAGATCCCCCGACAATTCGTACGTCAACAATTTAATTTCAGTTGTCTGAACCTCAGCCGTTTTTTTCGTGTAAACTTTATTAAGCAATTTTGTACCTAAAGGAACACTCTTTAAATGTGTACCATTAAATTTGCTTGAAAATTTTAATTAATTGTTGAAAATTGCCATTGAAAAAATCGTGTCGAGTTTGCCCTGGTCTCTCCTACATTATATATAATGTACATAAAAATTTGTTATAGTAGCTAATAAAATTTATATTAAAATTACCTGTCCAACTGCATTAAAGCATATCAGAAATAGGATTCTTAATGGTAATTTTGCTTTGTAGCACTTGTGACTCCAAAGTCGATGAGCGCCACCAGATACTCCGATATTAGATATGAGGTACATCCCAGGTACTTAAAAATATAAGAGAAAAAAATATATATATACATATATATGTGTGTATTATAAACAAGAATTCATGCAAGTTATGTTATATTTCTAAAATGCTTCACAAATATATATTTCTAAAAATATAACATACGCAAAAATTTTTAAGAAGATTTTTAAGACTTCTATTTTTTATAACGTTAATTACGCTCAATAAATGATTTTAATTAGAAAGCGCTGATTTAATTTGAATGAGAATCTAAATATGTAAATTAATCACAGACAATTATTATTATTTAATAATTCCGTTATTGTTAAATGCATTTATTTATATATTTATTTGCACTTATTTAGATCACGGATGATAGTTTTCATGATAATCGAGTAACACCATCAAAAGAATAATTAGAGATAATTTCTAATATTACCTATTATTTGGTCATAAATATAAATGTTTTGTCTATATTGCAATAATAATTATTAATATTTATTTGGATATTTTGTTTAAATATAATATAATAATATCAATAGCGTTTAATTATGTTTAAACTCACTTAACAGATGTAAAAAATAATTGCATTAGAAATAAAATTATTTAGTGTCAAATTAATTATTTTTAGTAATTTAAACTTAATGACTTTATTAATACCTTTTGCAATACGAAAGAATACAATAGGTTAAGAAAGTATTAACGTTAACTATTTTTTATTTGACTAATTTAAGAATCAACGATTTTATTTTAAAAGAACTTCTATATATTCATAGCTGCTCGAGAAAAATTTCAGAAACTTTGAAAATTTCTTTGTTAGATTCGTTTCTGTAAAAAAGCGTAAAATACTTTGAACGGGGATATTTACTCCATAATGTAGTCTTCCAATTTTCCGTGTAGTTGAAAGTCAATAAACCATAAATGCCAATAGTGTGGTATAAAAAGAATAGCAGAGCTATAGGCCATATTACATCAGTTTCAAAATTGAAAACACCTGATCTTTTCATTTCGGATTTTTTATAACTGTCATCATTCTTGTTCACTCCTGCCATGTTCATATCGTCAAGAGCTTCCTTCTTATTTTCTTTGATAATGGAAGTAATTGTATTACATTCCATTATGTTGAATATTGATGACTATAAATAATTTTTTCTGAAAACAAGTGATATCTTTAAAGCCACAGAAACAAAGCAATTTCTATCTGTTAGAAATAATACAATAAAAATCGCTGTTTAAAAGATTAAAAAGCAAGGTTAATTAATTAGTGTTTTATTCAAGCGCCAGTGCGATTGTCTTTTGAACTTTTAGGCAACGTGCAAAAGGTAAAATTTATTATATATCGTTATACGATATTCGATTTTTTAATTTTAAGTGCAATTTATAATTCTGCATAAATCCATTGCGTATTCTAACGTGAAATAAGTTTCTGTAATATATTATTTCTTAATTTATATTTTTAATTAATGAATATATGCAGTGTCTATAAACACACATGGGATCAAAAGTGCGTGAATTTGAACGCACAATGGAATATGTTCGGAATGCCTGCTTTTGGTTTAAACATTCATAAATTGTTGGTTATTTAATATACGATAAGTCAAATTATAAAATATTGTAGTGGAAATAACGAGAAACTGATATTATGTTGGTATCCTTTACTTCCTAATTTTATGTAATTATTTTGCTTGCAGAAATAGTATCAAATAATAAATACATTTTCCGAGATCATCACGTTGGTGTATTTAGGAGCCAAAATTAATTACAAAATTAATCAACTTATGTCAAAATTGTATAAAGCTGTGATACAAAAAATTGACAGCCACATCGATGAAGCAAAAATTTAGAAAGTTATTTTCTTGTCAAATCACTGTTTAATGATTTAAATATTATGTAATCACCTGTCCTATGCAATAAAGACATGTAGCATATTATTGGCTTTTTCATTAAAATTTTATTAATTAATGAACTCAATTCTAATCACATTTCTATAAGGTGACAAATACTTTTGAGCGGTAGTGTATACACTTAAAGGAACTGTGCTTTATATTCTGGCATTCCGATTCAAGGAATTACCTCTGTAAATTCCTTACCCCACAATATTATCTCTAACTTAGAGCTGTACATGTAAATATTTGATGTAGAACGTAAGGTATATTAATTCACTGGGTCATAGCTTAAGTTAGCAGCCGCTGGATCTCTAATAATCAACACGTACGTGGTTCATCGAAATACTAAAGTGTATAACGAGAAAAATAAAAAGCAACTAGTTCTCTCTTCTATTTTATCTTGCATTTTTTACGCTAATAAGTCAGGCTACTGTAACCCATCGAATTAATGCAACTTACTGTACATCAAATATGGAACAAGCTTGTGTTTCTTGGATAGTTAAACAAGAAGCACATCTCACATTCACCGAGAAGTAAGTGAGTAACTTCAAAATTTGATGGTTTAAAAATAACGTAATTTTTCGCGAGAAAATCCAAGTACAACTTTACTAATGATCATAGTTTTATTATGTGATCGAAATCAAAATATTCAGAACTTGAGCAAAAAGAGATATTAAGTCACTTACCCTTCAGCTCAGAGAATGCGAGAATAATCACTGAAATCGTGGTGAAATATATCGAGACATAATATAATTCATAAATAAACGACGCCATTACAGTTAAGACAATGATTACTTAGCATTTTTAATTTCATTTAACCCGAGTAAAAAAAATGACTAGTCAAATTAGCATATATACTCAGTGCGTAAATGAATAATCGGATATTGGCTGTTCCTTTTACGTCATCTTTGACATAATTAGAATCGTTTGTATGTTAACTGCGTAATTACAAATATTTGTATGAAACTTCTATGTCTTTCGGCTAATTCTATTTCGTATACGTAATAAACACTGTAGGAAAACAGATCCGATTTTCAAGAACTTTTCTTTGTATCTTTAACTTTAATATATATTAGAGAATACAAGCGAAATACCTCTGCCTCTGCGAGAGAAGACAATGTTTTCGGAAGCTTAACGCAGTTGATCTGTTCCTTTCGCTGTTCTCGACACTCTGACTGAAACCGTTATCAGTGCTCGCCTTTGAGAACCGAACTGTCCCCCGAACTGTTGCCAAATATTACAAGGCCCAATCACATGACTAGGAAGTACGACAAAGCAAACGTAATATATAAACACAACTAGAATATGACGAGGCAAATATGGAGGGGGAAAAACAACAGTAGTGTAAGTCAAAATTTTTAAAATATTGTCTCGTGTGCACAGATGCAATCTGTACAATATATAAATTGTATCTGTGCACACGAAAAAATGTTTTAAAATTTTGACTTACATTACTGTGGTTTTTACCCCTCCATATGTACATACATTGTGCTTTCCGACTTCGCATTGATTCAATGTAGTGTTAGCTGATTGACAATAAAAATCTTCAGGAAATATTCGTAATTGCTCAATTAACTCGATTAATTATATATATTTTGTAAAAATAATTGTGATGAAAGAAAACCGAAGATGACAGACAAAGGATATCAACTATCAACTATTCGACATTGACTATTTATAGACGCCGAATTGAAGTCAATTCAACTAGTTATTTCTGCGTAGTTTCTTACGTGCTTCTCGCATATCCCGAACATAATTCGATACACAGCTTTAAGTAATAAGTTATTTATAACATTGCTTCTACGAGATTATTAACATTTAGTAAGTTCGTATCTCTAAGGATATTTTGAAAACAATAGTAAAAGTAAAAATTATAATTTGATGGCCAGTGAAGTCTGGAACACGGTTATACGACAAATCAAATTTTATAATACAAATAATTAGGATATAGTGTAGTTCAGTACGGATTTATGCCCTTTTCAAATCGATTTCTGAAAGGGCGAAAAGGACATTTAATTCCGAGCACTGGTGTAGTTCATCAAAGATCGCCAATTGAAGATCTCAAGTAGAGATCGAAACCGATTTTGGAAATCGCATTTCACAATATAATTATTTGTATTATAAAATTTTATTTTTGCACGTATAATCGTACCTCAGACTCATACTGGCCATCAAATTATAAAACTATATAATGTTGAAGTGTCAAACAAATAAATTTTGGTTTATATAAAAAACTGGAAGGATCATCCGCGCGTATATTTTTGAAACAACTCTTTAAATCTGAATCAGTGAAAAGTCACTGAACGCATCAGTGACTATTCACTGGATATCAGTCTAAATGCCACTTTAGTGATTTACTGATTCAGATTTAGATAGAACATATTTGCATTTCCGTATAAATGTGTATTACATGCACTAATTTTTGCACTCTCTGCAATAATTTTTTACTATTTTATTAAATTTATTACAACATTTAGAGTGTTATAATTAATTTAATATGTTAATATGATATATATTATATCATTGCAACAATGCGGTCTTTTGATAAACTATAAAGAAAATATTACAAGTAAACTAATGCTTTATATTCTTTTTTTTCTTATTTTTAATCAAAGAATGTAATATTTAAATCTTCTACGAATTGAACGAATTGAACAAAATTTATAATATAGAAGTATATCGAATTCTTGAGAATTTAATAATAAAATTTGTGCGTTGAGAATAATATTTCTCGATATCTTATTAATTTTATCGAACATCTAGATAACTCTAAAATCTTATTAAAAAACCTGTTTCCCACGATGCAATTTTTCGTGCTACCTGTAAGGAGCTCTGCCACCGTGCAAACTACGCAGCGAGAAAAGTTGCTTGCTGCGAGTAGCGCTGACAGTTTTACGTGATAGAACAAGTGCTATTTTTTCTGCGTGTTTTGCTGCTAGTCGCTATAAGCGGCCAATTGACATAAGCTTTGTTTTTCTTCTTATTGCAATAGATTAAGTGTTTTTAAAAATATGGAATATAAAACTTTGACACTTAAATGTATGATAATATTATAATTCTAATAAAAATTTGCGAAAACTCAAACAACAGAAAAAGTATGTTGACAAATTGAAACAGATTCGACTCTTATCAAAAATTAAAAATCAGTTAGTGTATGTGCAAAAGATATTAGGTATTTAATAATTTTTCTACGCGTTTATTAAAACAAAGAAATATATTTTCTAATTGTAATAATTAAGATAAAATTAATATAGGGTCGTAATTTTGGTACGTAATCTTGGATCGCGAGAACTAAAATCTTTCAATTACTTATTGAAAAAAACAAGTAAGATAACAGATAAATATACCTTGGCGGAGAAACAAGATTGGAGTGAGGCGTTATATGTGCACTGACTGGTTACTGAAGATTCTTTATTGCACAAGATTTATATACTATATTCTTTTGTGAAAAAGATTTTTTGAAATCACTAACTTGCCTAGAACGATTGTGACACTTACAGTGAGTGCTTCTGCCACAATGCATTTCATTTTACATTAATATATATCATCTAGACTTTACGTCATTACAAAAATGCTGATATCATTTCATGTATATGCATTTATGTATGTATAGTCGGCATTTGTTCTCATAATTTTCATATATTAACATCGTAATTTTTCAGCTTTATTATATGAATATATGAATCATAGGCATCCACAGAAGGGCCCGGGACAAGAGAGGACATTTGTCCCTCTATAGTGGGCCTATTCTGTAACACTTAACGACAGTTTCATTGACGTTATATTTGCGTTGCGCAGATATTATATATGGTAAAAAAGCTACGCAACGATAATACTGGAATCAGCAAAAAATTTAGCATTTACTTCCTTTGAATAAAGGAAGCGCAAAGTTATGCTAACCTTACCGATCTCTACCTTAGTCCATATAGGAAAAACACATTTTTTTTCTAATTTTTATATAATTTTAGTTTGTCAATGCCTGCCTTGCTCGAATGTAATTCGTTTCTCCTGTTTTTTTCAAAAATCAAATAAGATCTCTCAGTTTTATTTATTATTTAATCAATGCCTGCTTTTGTTTTCTACAAATAAGATTGCAATACATTGAACGAATGAGAAAAGTACAGAGTGTCCCAGGGAAGTTGCTAAAATTAAACTCTTTCCCTTCTAGGTAGATGTTTATTAGATAGATGTTCTATTGTCCGTAATATTGTCAACAACACGGCGACATTAAAGCGGGGAGCACTGCACACTTTTGCATAATAACGCATAATGCGTAAACATAAGAAAATTGATTGGTCCATATACATGTACATAAGGAAATAGGAACCAATCAATTTTCTTATGCTACGCATTATTGCGTTATGCAAAAGTCTGTGCTCCCCGCTTAATGCTTTTCCATATGAAAGTAGTTGGGTCCGAATCAAGTAAAATAGTTAGACACATCGGTTGTGCATCATGACTGTGGGTTTTTTGAAGGAAATGACTTGAAAGAATTTACTACACGAAATCTTCCGGTTATTAAATATAGCTTCTTCGATTTAATATTCAAATATAAAACTGTAGTTTGAACGTGTAAAGTTAAATTGACTTTGATTTGAAAGTTGATGCAAGGTAAGAACAATATTATTGTCAAATTATAAACTCTTATAATAAACTGCATTTCAATTTGTATAATGAACAAGCTTGTTTTGATTATTATCCCTGCGGTTAAAAAGTAATAGATGAAAAGAATGAACCCTAAACAGCTATATGTATATAGATTATGTATAGTAGATTCTGTCCGATCGATGAGATCATAATCTATGAGCGCTGGCAATCACACCGATGCACCCCAGTTCGTACATGATAAGTACTGAAAATAAAAAGAATATTGATCCTTATTTAACAGTATAATATAATCATTATGTCGGTTATAGATAATAACTAGACCATAGATAACAACTAGGAAGTTTTAACTTGCGGACGACTAACTGTCGTTAAAATTCTATAAGTCTCATATACAATGGCTCGTATTCTGAAAGCATTTTTATCGATAAATGCGCGCGCTTTTATCGATAAAAAAGAGTTGAGAATATGGGAAAATATTTCTAGATTTTTTTTACAAAAAAAAATGTAAATTCACATTATAAGGTCGTCTTCAGGTTTTGAAAGTAGACGAAGGTGACTAAACTATAAAGTTCGACGACGTGCATCGTCGCTAAGTAGGAGACCGAAAATCATAAGATATCCGTCTTTTTCTTTTTGTAATAATTTCTTTTTCGCGGTTAATTACGTCACGGGCATCGTGAGAGTTTTTCGGTGTTGTGCCGTACATAATGAAAGCATTATTAACAGTTTATGTTATAAAGAGCATAAGGGGCTGCGCACAATGAAAGGAATAAGGAACAGAGAACAGAGAATAAGGAACAGTTTAATATTAACATATTCATTGTGCATAGGGTAAACTCGGGTAAGATGGCCATAGTTTTTTAAGATGCAATAAACATACATTTATTTTTGTTATATTTTAACAGTGTTTGGTATATTCCTTCACTGAAGCTTAAAGTACGTAAAACTATCGAAATTAAGAAGAAAACACTTAACATAAATTTTATATTATCAAAATATTACAATGTATGCATTGGCCATCTTATCTGACTTTTAAGGAAAAGATGGCCATAGCAGAAAAGATAACCATGGTATTTTTAAATAAATAGTGAAAAATAGAAATACAAATTATAGGTCAAATTACAATTTACATAGCTTAATTATGTGTGTAACGTTAATTACGGCAGCTTAACTATAATTTATTTAATATAGCAGTTTTTAGCGGACACATGAAAAACTTTGCAGGCAGTCGAAAGTAAAAATATGATATAATATTCACAATATTGTTATTTCGAATAGTGTACGCACATAAACTACTGTAAATATTGATTATCTTTGAGAATGACTACAAAAATGCACTGTTTAGCCATTATTGGAGAAATTACAGCCATGGGCCATCTTTTCCGTATGGCCATCAGACCCGAGTTTACCCTATGGCATACAAAAATACAATTACAAACAAATGCTGATAAGACATTTGTAATTTCTCATAATAAATTAAATCGACGCAAACATATATTTTGGCAAACATATTTCACGCTAAGACAAACATAAAAAAATACAGTACAGACATAAAAAAAAGAAAAACAGGCCATGCCCCTGCACTGAAAAGGTTTCTTATTCGTGAGTGCTGTGTAATGGAGTGAAGGTAAACGAAATCGATTGCACACTCTCTTTAGGTTTGATAATAATTTAAGTCACTAAATTAACGTATAAATTATTTGCACGAAAAAGATTATATTTAGAATTAATAATAGATATCGTGATGCAATTGTAATACCATAAAAACATTTTTTTTTTTAAAGAGCGCCAAGTGTTCACGCTTTATTGTATAATATGTAACTATATATTGCGCGAAACAATATTGTTTTAATATATTTTTGCCATAAAGTGGTGATATCAGACATCGTGCCAAGTGAGCATGAATTTATACATATTATAAAATTTAATCTTTTCTCACATAAATAATTTAATTCTTCTATCGTACTTAAAGTATTCTTTTCACGAAGGAGCGTATTTTGTAGGCGCTTAAGCAGGGCCTCAGCAAACTCTTGTATACTGCATTAAACTTATATAAAATTAAGTTATAATTGATTATTATGTTTAAAAAAAAATGAAAATATTATGTGTATTTAGAAATTTTTCATTTTTCGGTAAATTTTACTGTCAGAACAATATGGCAACGCTGCGCTTTTCAGGGCGCCGATTGTAAAATGTGAAGTTGATAACAAAAGTGTCAATGTAAGTGTTAATTTCATTAATCAAAGAATATTGTAACATTTTCTTTTTATTAAAGAGAGATTTTATAATGATAATGAGTGATAAAAAACATAAAGTGAGGAGTAATGTGGGCAAAAATAAGGGACAATTTGTAAAAATAAAAGTTGATAATAAACCGTACGTGATGAACTGAAGTGTGACATGAGCGCACAGCTTGTAGCGTTGCCAAATAATTCCTTAAAAGTCGCCATTAAAAATATTAATCTATAAACCACATTTCAAGTCAACTTTTAACATAAATATTTTGTTTAAATATTTGGTGACTCTGTATTTTTATCGGCACTATCGAAAGTATAGAGTTTAGCGAATATGTAGCGCAGTTAATATTTAATATCTTAAGATATTTGATAAACAAATTATTACATTAAAATGTAGAAAATAGACTTTTTCGATAACATCACATATAAAATATCAAATTTTCAAAGTCATAATTCTTCTTTATATGTTCGGTAATGTGGTTTAATTTTTTTCTGGCGTAAAGATATGCATTTTAACTTTCTCGTACCAAAAAATCAGTTAATTCTTAAGACTTTGGTGTCATGAAAAGAATACCTTAACAGAATAATAAAATATTTAATGTAAAGGAATTTATTAATGAGCATGAAAAACTGTGTTTACCATGAAAAAGCTTGACGTTATGAAACAAATAACCATGCAAATGTTTCATGTGCATACGTAAAGTTTGCGTAAATTACGGTCGAGTTTGATTTAAAATGTAAATAGACACTTGTGCGAAGTAGAATTAAGATTTGCATATATATAGATATTTATTTAGCAACGCCAAGTTTTTTTAGACGAAATATTCTGTTATTTTAATAGGCATAATAATAAAAGGATTAAACATATATTATGGTAAAAACACAATTTGTTATGCTCATTAATAAGTTTTCTTACATTAAATATTTTATTATTCTATAAGTACGATAGAAGAATTAAATTATTTATGTGAAAAAGGATTAAATTTTATAATATGTATAAAATTCATGCTCACTTTGCACGATGTCTGATATCACCACTTTTATATGACGAAAATATATTAAAACAACATTGTTTCGCGCAATCGGGCGCCAAGTGTTCGCGTTTACTATATATAATATTTAATTCTTTTATTATTATGCCTATTAAAGTAACAGAATATTTTGTCCAAAAAAACTTGACGTTGCTAAATAAGTATTTATAGGGTATATGCAAATCTTAATTCTACTTTGCACATGTATTTATTTATATTTTAAATTAAACTTGACCTTTATTTACACACATTTTACGCCCGCACATCAAACATTTGCATGGTTATTTGTTTTGCATAGAAATTTCCTTCTATTGATATCTCTCGAATTCTCCACACTAATTTGTAAATTCACATTACTATAAAGTAGAATGTACATCGTATACAGGGTGTCTGGTAATTACTGTGTATCTCACAGATATTGCATAAATTTGAACATTATATACTTGGTCGGTGAATTCCGTGATTCACATCTGAGGTATGCAACCATACGATAAGTACGTACTTCTATTGTTCCTGACTTATCAAATATACATATTTTACATAAACAGTTCATTAATATTTTATAAAAATAACATTTTACATCCATATACCATTATATTTAAGTCCTAACATATAATTATGAATATCGGAAATAATCTAACATCTAATTAATCACGATTTATTTTCAACAGTATCTCTAAATTTCAAAATCATAATTTAATCAATTTTTTGTCATGATCAAAATATGACTTTTGATAGTCATTATGACATCATTTTGACGTCATTTTGACTTCTAAATGACTTTTTGTCCTGCCTGGGCTCTGACCCACTTATGAATGTTTTCCCGGAAGATTTAATGCAGAGAACGATGATATATACAATTATGCTGCAAAATTTCATTAAGAAAACAGACTGTATAGGGCTTGGATTTCTAGTTTATTCAGATGTCATCGCCTGTGCGACACTTTGGCGAGAGGAGAAAAGTTAACGCGAAACTTACTTGATAACAAGCGATGGTTTGAAAAATCATAAGGATAAATCTCGTGGGCCATTTTGCTTTGTAAAATCGATGGGCCCATAATCTATGATCGCCAGCAGTGATGCTTAGACCCGCGGCAAAGTCAACAGCAGTAACTAATAAATTATAAATTACGGTTTGATTCAGTGGAGAGTAAATAGCATTGCGGAAAGAAACAATTAAATATGACACATACTCCATATAACCGAACGATACTTACCCTGAACGCAAAGCGTGTACACTGTTAAATTCATAGGGTTAAATTAAACTCAAATTTGAGTAATTTTTAACTATTCCATATAGGTCGCCACTGCTCCTACTCAATATTTAGTTAATTTAACTAAAACAATGTTAATTTGACTAAACCAATGGAGTTAAAATAATCCTATTTTGTTTCAAACTAATAAATTTTGACGCACATGGTAGTTAAAAATAACAAAATAAATCTAACTCATGGTATTGGTTTAAATTTCATCCTCTAACCTTTAACAGTGTATAGCTCGTAAATGTCAGTAAGATGAATATATGCTAAAATAATGACACTTCTCCAAATTATTTTCCTTTCACCTAATCGGTTTTGTATAATTTTGTATGATTTCTTCGTCAATGTCTTATAGACTTTCCGAATTTTGTTGCGGACATTTCAGATAAGTCCGGTATCATGCGCTGTGTCAAATATTAAAAATATCTTCGTAAAGTGTAGCCTTTATCGTAAATTACGTAACGATATTCTGCTGTATTCTGCATTTATATCAGAAATATGACAACTTCTTAAAGTTATAGTCTTTTTTATCGTACCATTTTATTGTCATCATATACTTTACAGTAATTTATATTTTATATTTTTCATTACACACTATCTTTTAAAGATAGTATAATAAAATCGATTACTCGCGTGGGTGAAAAATTGTTCATTTTTAACATCTTCCTTTAACTATAAGCTGCAAAATAATATATGTATATTAAGCGAAAATAAAGTTACCTTTTACTAATATAATTTATTTGAAAATATCCGAAAAAACGTAGTTAAGTATATCCACGATATTCCTCGCACGCACACTTCGGTCCGACTGAATAATCGATAAATTTCAGTTTTATTGCCACTCAAACGTATATGTACATGGAATAATCCAGAAGCGTAATGGCACGGGCTATTATTTAGAGGGAACGGGAAATTACATTAGGACACGAGAACTTATATTCAGTGGCATACCTTATTCTTTATTAGGCATAAGAACAAAACTAAAATATATTTATCCGGTAAGGTCAAATTATGTCCGACTGAAGATATGAGCATTTTTCTTTGTACCGATAGGAAATAAAGCACGCGAGAGCAATAAACAAAGGTGAAATTATAATCATGTATTATAATAATATCCCAAATACTTCGTCATTACAAACAACAATCAAATAGGTATCAATATTTGAATTAATTTTATTAGTTACATAATAATTAAAGATAAGTTATTGATTATGACATAAACGAAACATACTGTTACAATATGCTATTGTAATATGTATTCATTTTTTTTTTAACTACCTTAAATCGAAGAAATAATGAAAAATGCAGTGTTTATTAATTGTCAAATAATTTATAAGGAAATATTATTGCATTCTTAAAAAAACGAAAACGTATAAGTTTATGTTATATTGATAAACGTATATAAATTGTCATAATCATATTGCATTTACAGCTGTTAATTGATCCAAAGAAACTTTTTATCGTGAAAATGAGACCACTCTTATTGTTAATCATTTTTATTATTCAATTTTACTGGCTGGATACGGCACAGCACTCCACAAGGGATGACTCCCGTCACCCTTTTTCATCGCGATGGTCTTCACGAGCTCCTGCGATGGTTGTTTGAGATCGTAAGCCCACCCGATTTTCGCAAAGAAGTTGATAAAATTTGTAGTTGCGAGCTTGGAATATTGTAACTCGGCAGCCTTGTAGTCCCACGGGAAGACATGATGGTAATTGTGCCATCCTTCGCCGTTTGTTATAATGCTAACCCATCGATTTTCTGTTGGATTTATGTACCTGCCATCAAAATAAACGAGAGAAAATTACTCGTAGGCGACACAGAATACCGCAAGCTTCGAAATTTTTTTCGATCAGGTTTATTAAATGTATGAATAATTGTGAATAATTTGGTATGTGCTTACGAATCGTATGGCTTTGAGCCCCAGATATGAGCCGCACTGTTGACGCTCCATGTGCCATTTAAAACGAAAGTATAACGAATAATAATCTGCGATATGAAGGCTCTATACCAAGTCTCATTCCATCCATACACAGGTACCATCACCGGAAGCAGGAAAGCAAAGATAAATTTAAGAATATTGAAATATCTGCGAAATATTATAATAAATTAATTACGCCATGCAGGTTTTTTATATTACACATTGTCACACGCTATATATATCGTATAAATAACAAAGGAATTTTGCTCGACAAAGCAACAGCTAAGTAGTTTAAAAACGGCCAAAATTCGAGCAATTAACAGATGTTAAAAATATATTTAATACTTCAATAACGGTATACAGTAGTGTTTACGTTTCGAGCCTTACTTGGCCTTCTTCAGAACAATAAAAACGTATAAAAAATAACGCATTACAATATCTCGACTCATTTTACAAACAAGGAATCAAATATCGTATATTTTATGAAAGAAAATCTGCATAAAAGAGAGATTTTTTAAAAGAGAACTGCGGAGAGATATCAAAATGATAAATACGTATTTTTGAGATAAATCAAATAAGAGTGAATAAATTTTCTCTTGTTTTCTTTTATCTTTTTCAATATGAAACGATCTTGCGTATTTCATTATTTATTCTTTACGCAGACTTACTTGCAACTAAATGTGGCGATAGGATCGGCCAATATATCGCTCATATCGATCTGACCACCCTTTCGGATCACCTCCGGATGTTTCTTCATCATCAACCAACCGACATGGGAAAAAAAGAATCCTCGGCTACTATTGTGCGGATCTGCGTCTGTATCTGTATACTTGTGGTGTACCCGATGATCTCGCACCCAGTCATACAGGTTATTCTGAAAGAAGACAATTGTATAGAAAAATTCTTCCGTTTTGCAACGCATGAAATGGGAATTATAAACATTCGTCTACCTACCATGCCAGACGAAACGTAGAAAACGACAAGTATAATTCTAAGTGGCCATTTTGCCTTGTAAGCTTGGTGGGTCCATAAACGATGAACACCAGCGGTGACGCCTAGCCCTGATATCAAAGCCATGCCGAATACTTGAAACAAAAAGAGCCGGCGCAATTAAAAATCGTTAGAAATGCTAGCTTATAAAATCGTGCATACCTAACTATTCGTATTTCTCGTGAGCGTCATGTAAATCACTTATAATTTTTACATGATCGATCTATTATAATACTTTATTTTCAGTTATGATAGTTTATATTAACTGAAAAACAAGAAACTTAGAAAAAAATTAAGAGGCGTATAAAAATCGAAATTGCTCTACTTAGCTCAATTTGCTGTCAATTTTTATATTTCTCAGAGTGATTCGAAAAGTGGAGATTGAATTTATACTTTGAAGTGTTTTGTAACCACCGCGACATTTGACAATTCGCGATGACTTATGACGAAATCGATATTGATATAAAAATTAGGAAATAGCAGTCTTTTATCTGCTGTTAAGCTTCTATTGCGTGCTCTTTTCAATCGCGTGGGTCTAATCGGTCGGGTTTCAATCAACCGTCGTTCATTTTAGAAGTTGTTAGAAACATTTTAAATAAAGGTGAAATACAATTTTAATCAAATTGTTACGTTTAAAACATTTATACCTATACAAAATTATAAGAAATGATTAATCTCTCCCATATAATGGACTAAATTTCACTTTTTTATGTGTTTTTTTCCGGAATATCAATAAAAACCAAATTAACAAAAGAATTTTCCAAAGAATACTCACTCCAAGCGGTAGTCTTCAGATTTTCGAGAAATTTAAAAGTAAAACAGGCATATACGAAGTATAAATGGAGAAAACTAAAATATATTATATTAAGCCACTTCAGTTCCATTTTGGACCAGCCTTCAGGTTTTGTATAGATTTCACTTTTGTTTTGTATGCCATTTTCATCGTGTATCTTCATAGCAGCGGAAGAGTCTTCCTCTTGAATAACTTTCTCCGTAAGTATTTTTGGATTTGTGCTTAAAATATTTGGTGCCATCTTTGTCTTCGAATTGCTGGGCCGAGAATCCAAAATATCAGCTTTACGCTACCGACAAACAGTAGACTATCATCTTCTCTCTTCAAACCAACAATTGAAGATTAAACTTCTTGCTCACACGACATAAGAAATGACATATTGTAATACTTAATGGAACATGATATTAAAAATAATTTATTCTCCAATATTCTTAACATTCCTCCTTATATATATTCTACCTTTTCAAACTGCAGGAATGAAGATTTATATCTATATATTTGTAAGATAACTGATATTTTTACACAATTAGTTATCGTAACAATTATCCATAAAGCAATTACCGGAGCAATTATTGTTATCGAAACAGATAATTGTAGAATATTATTCACACTCAGAGTTTTATTTTTAAGAGGACGAGGCTCAAATATCGATGTAAATGTTTCTCTCGAACGCGCTTATGTAACAATTCACGCGAAATATTTATTTGCACAGTTAAATAAACATACACGAGTCTTTTAAGAAAATTATATGAATTCGTAAAATATTTCTAATTCACCGTAGAGAGAAAGCACTCGTATCGTTTATCCAACATTTATAGTTCTTAATCACGTCTTCGAATCGTGACGACTGAAATGTTTTGCCAGGTTGCAACGCTATGCACTTAATAAATGGCATTGTCAGCACATTGCTCCATATAAAAATGTATGCTTGAATTCGCATTTGTATAAATTGACACAAGTAGTTTTATAAATATTTCAGTGATTCAATATTACTACTCACATCTAATACTGTTATATTAATAATACGCAAAATATCGCAAATTTCGTCATTATTATAATTTCAAACCATAATTCACAATTAGTTTCGTATATAACAAGAACAGTTAGATTTTTTAATCACGTATTTTATGATTATTTGCTTAAGTTGAAGTGCAATGTAGCAAAATTTTTGTATGTAAAAAACACTCATATTTTGAGATAATAAGGGTGCATGATTTATATGAAGTGACCGATTTAATTATCAGCGTAATTTAAAGACATATGAAAAACTAGTTTACGACATGTTTAGTACAAAGAGAAACATCATATAGTGAAGACAATTTTTTTATGGGTGGAGGTGTTGAGGGCTTTAAGGGGATTCTAAAGCCGTTTGTAATACCGACATTTTTACTAAACGCATATCTTTTTATTGGCTTTATGGATTTAAAAAATCTTTTTTAAAGTTAAAGTATACGCGCTAATGCTTTCCACGACGGTCGATTTTATACAGAAAACGAAAATAATTTCAGAAATGCATACCAAGCGAAAACAACCTAGTCAAAGTGATGTCAAATTGCCATCAAATTGACGAAGGATATGATGTCAAAAAGAGTGAAATGATGACAAAATGATGGCATCATGACTGCAAAACGTCCCATACCTTGACGGTGATTATGACTGTTATTTTGACGTTATTTTGATGTCAAAGTAAATAATTCCCTCTACAGTAATATAAATGCAAAATTAAAATAATATTAAAACTAAATTACATTGAAAAAGAGACAAAATATAAAGACATAAATATATTGCATAAGGTTTTTTAATCAAATTTAAGCTTTGTTCTTAAATTTATATGACAAGTAACTTAAAATCATATAGCAGTAAATCAACATTAAACGTAAATCAACTTAGTTAACGAATAAACTTAGGTAATGAATAAATTTAGTTAACATAATAAACTAAAAACTTCTTATAAACGTTTTTAGTATATATTGCTTACCATACTATATATGTATGTATATTTTTACATTGGAACATATATTATATTTTTATTAGAAAAGAATTAAAAAAAGTTTACATGTCTCATGATAAAAATAAAATATTGCACGTATAACAAATCATAAGAAACTTTTACAGAAAAGTGCTGCTAGGGATTAAAAGTAGACAAAGCTATTAATAACAATCAATATCAATATCAATGCAGCCCATTTTCTCGAAAACTATTATAGTTATAAAGAAAATTGAATAATACTTTCCTCTAGACAATTTAATAAGCTTTTATCTTGATAATAACTATTTTTTTCAATAAAATCAATATTTTTAATTTTTTTAGATATATATGCAAAAAACCGAAAAAATGCACCTATTTTTCAAGATGGTGGCGAACACTCACCTTCAACTTATCAAGACTTTTTAGACGTTCATTAGTAAGCTTACACGAACATCTCTACCAAGTTTCAAAACTTTTGGAATTATTTTTGTCAAATTTCCTATTTTGACTGGGCTAATATATGGGACTTACCACAGCTTATAAACACAGATATTTCCTGTTTATTTAGATCAATATTGCAATTTTCGTTGCCTATAGCAAAGGCCGAACTTCCTCGATGTCGATAATCTCAACATTTCTAGTCCTGTTTTCTATGTTATATATCTATATCTGTCCTTGTCTAACTATAGGTATCTGTCCTTGTCCGATTGCTGCGCCATCTCTCTCGCTACACGCAATACTGCTTATCTTATCAACCTGCATGTGCTTTTGCTGCTTTTGCATATATAAAAGTTAAAAGCATGACACTTTTTTTCTAGACTTCTATCGTAGTTGTAATTGCACGATATTACATTCAATTACATTTACATCCAAAGCGAAAAAAAAATTAAAAATTTGGGCACATAGAGCTGTCACTGACGACAATATTTGGTTATACAAAAATACTGCAGTTTATATATACAAAATGAGATACTAGCCCTCTAGAGAAAACATTGAAGAACAATATCGTGCAATTACAACTACGATAGAAGTCTAGAAAAAAAAAGTGTCATGCTTTTAACTTTTATATATGCAAAAGCAGTAAAAGCACATGCAGGTTGATAAGATAAGCAGTATTGCGTGTAACGAGAGATGGCGCAGCAATCGGATAAGGACAGATATCTATAGTTAGACAAGGACAGATATAGATATATAACATAGAAAAAAGGATTAGAAATGTTGACATTATCGACAACAAGGAAGTTCGGTCTTATCAACCTGCATGTGCTTTTGCATATGTAAAAGTTAAAAGCATGATACTTTTTTTTTAGACTTCTATCGTAGTTGTAATTGCACAATATTGTTCTTCAATGCTTTCTCTAGAAGGCTAGTATCTCATTTTGTACATATAAACTGCAGTATTTTTATATAAGCAAATATTGTCGTTAGTGACAGCTCTATGTGCCCAAATTTTTAATTTTCTTTCCGTTTTTTATGTAAAATACCGACACTAGTCCCCTACACTTTTGTACGTACTTTAATTCTGTACAAAGATTTTGCAATTCCGTAAAGCCAATTAAAAGTGGTTTGGTTTTAACTAAATAATGTCGATAATTACTGCCACTATAGGATCCTCTTAAGGGGATGCTGGAGTGACGGCCGAACTTCCTCGATGTCGATAATGTCAACATTTCTATATAATTTTGTTTTTCCTATATCTGTCTTTGTCTAACAAAATGACATCTGTTTTTGTTCGATTGCTGTGTTATCTCTGCTTACTAGCCTGCGTGTATATTTTTGTGGAAAATATACACGATTTCTTCGAACCTCTAATTTATTTTCCAGGCTTTCAATCTTAATTTCAACGGTGCGTTATTGATTGTGCACGTATTCTGAAGAGTGGGAACATTTCATTTCATACATATAACTTATACAGCTGTTTATATTAGAAAATATGGTTATGAGATGACAGCATTTTTACATTTTTTTAAATTATTATTAATTTTTTATATTTTCACTCTTTATTAGTACCTATACTTTACTCCTGTAAAAGGATTTTGCGATCTATAAAGCCGTTTCAAAAAACGAGCTCTGACTGTTTTTCTCGGTAATTGTCCCCTGTCCAGGATCACCTTAAGGAGCAACACGCAATACTGCTTATCTTATCAACTTGCACATACTTTTGCTGCTTTTGTATATATAAAAGTTAAAAGCATGACACTTTTTTTCTAGACTTCTATCGTAGAGTTGTAATTGCACGATATTGTTCTTCAATGTTTTCTCTAGAGGGCTAGTATCTTATTATGTATATATAAACTGCAGTATTTTTGTATAAGCAAATATTATCGTCAGTGACAGCTCTATATGCCCAAATTTTTTTTTTTGTTTTAGATGTAAACTGACCCTAGCCCTCTACATTTTTGTGCGTACTTTAATTTTGTATAAAAACTTTACAATTCCGTAAAGCCAGTTAAAAGTTGCATGCTTTTAACTAAATGTCGGTAATTGCTGCCACTATAGGATCCCCTTAATAACATCCTGTATAATTTCTCCCATTGTTATTATCATTGTTCTTCCTTGTTTTCTTTTGCAAACTCTGAACAGGCACAGATTTGTTATTAATGTACGGTTTTCAAAATTAGGATTAAATCCCTAACAAAAAAGTTATGCGTGTAGATCTATTATCGTGCAATGTATATAATATATGTCTATGGTATATAGGTACTATAACCTTGTTTATCCTTGTCTATATTTTTATCTATACTTTGTACAAGGACAGATCTTATAGGCCGGTAACATAAAAAACTATCGAAATTGTCGACATTTTCGGAGTTCGGCCTTTGGTTTAGAATTCTTTTATGATCAATTTTATTTTTTTTTTTTGTATATAAAATTTTATATATTTTTTATTTTATATAATACGATAGCTCTTAGTGTAAGACAAGCTCAATGATTATTGTGTGAAGACATTTTAGCAAAGGTATAAAAAAATAGGTGAGGACGGAGGAACTGGCATCAGTTAAGAAAAAAATATAATAAATATATTATAATCACCAATATATGTATATATTTATATTTTTATATATTTATATATTAAAATTTAAACTTTTAGTTATTAAATTCGAAAAACATTGAGCTTCAATTCAATATAACATAAATATTTAAATTCTAATAAACTTACCAAAAAAATAAAAAATTTTTTAAAATCAAAATAAACTCCCATTACCCCAGGCACCGGGCAATGAGGACCATCTTATGAGTAATGAGATCTTTTGTTCATGCAAACATTTAAGTGAGTAACAAAGTACTTATATTGTGGAAACAGTAATTAAATAGGTAAAAAATAGGTTTTATTATCTTCCATTAACCTAGGACGAGATTAATCATTAAATTTAAGTTTTTTTATCATTTTATAATTAATTTTACAAATGCAAAATTCGCAAATAAAATTGTTTACCTTTTCACAAGCTACGCAGTCGTATATTTAAAATTTGTATACCCGAGATAATTAGAGCCCGTTCTAATTACACCATTGGAATTAGTTCAAATTACCCCATTAGTCTAACTTTTTTCGATGATTTAAGAGAAAAACTATTGAAAAGACATTTTAATTTGAAATGTTTTGTCAGTAAAGTAAACATATGACAATAATAATAAAGTAAAAATTAATTCAATTATAATAGAAAGTAAAACTACTTTTTGCTTAAGAAAAAATCGATAAAAATTGTAAAGGAGCGACCGGAAACACGACGTGCACTTTCCCAGGCAAACAAAGCAAGCTTGATGAAACATTCGAATGGCGGAGGAAGCAGTGTTTCATAAGAGTTACACGCGGATTCGGATTTGTAACGCGCAATAGTTAATTTATTCTAAGATGATTCTTATTACCCCGTGGTTCCTATTCCCCCGTCCTCCCCTACATAGTAAAATAAATTTTAAATGTATGTCTTGTATTTTCCGTTTTTTACAATAATTATCAGTAAAGTATTGTAATTATTGTTACAAAATATATTGACATTTTCTCTAATTAACAAAAAATGGACAACATTTATAAGATCTCTTAATTTACTTCAGATTAATTTACTACAGATTAAGATTTGTTTAACATTTGACGAATTTGACATAATAAATCTTGATCCATTGACAGATTCTATGAAATAAATTAAATAAATTAAATTAATATTCTGTAAAATATAAATTAAAAAATTCTGTGTCTTTCTTTTTTCTTTAGTAAACTACGTGGAGGAAGTTGGGGTAATTTGGACACTACCCTATTTTACTTTATAAACTCCTCACAAAAATTAGAGGACTTAATTTTTCTTAAAAAATAAGCAAGATTCAAGCAGCTGTAACTTCGTTAAAAATGAACAAAGTTTAAGTTAAAAAAAGGATTTTAAAGTTTAAAATCTCTACTTTCGAAAGGTTATTTTCTCTAAGGTTACTTTCTATTTTTTAGTTTCTATGAGTTTGGTAATTTTTACATATAGAAAACTACCAACTGGACAAAATGGAAAATTTTCTTCTCACTTTGTGGGCCTGTTACGTGCACAAAAAATCTACAAAAATTTTCGACTTTGTACAAACGTAGTGTTTCTAGATCAAAATAAAAAAGGGAAAAATCGCTAATTTTTACATTATTTTTATCCATTTGTATCATGTCTACATGTTATTTTTAAAAGTTTGGCAATTATACCATTCGATAGAGCAAAGTTTCAGCTTTAAGAATCTGTTTTTTAAATTGCGGTACGATTTTTAACGGAGTTATGAACAATTAGAGTCAAAATGCTCATTTCTTATTCAATCTGCGATAACTCAGTAACAAAAAATCATAGAAACATTTTTAAAAAAATATTTTGTAGAAAAAACTTCAAGCTTTTGCGTTACAAAGTCGAAAATTTTCGTAGATTTTTTTTATGCACGTAACAGGTCCAATGAGAAGAAAATTTTCCATTTTGTCCAGGTCGTAGTTTTCTATATGTAAAAATTATCAAACTCACAAAAACTAAAAAATAATAGTGACCTTTTAAAAGTAGAGATTTTAAGCTTCAAAATTCTTTTTTTTTTAACTTAAATTTTGTTTGTATTTAACAAAGTTACAGCTGCTTAAATTTTGCCTATTTAAAAAAAAAATTAAGTGTTCCTCTAATTTTTGTGAGGAGTTTATAATCGCTAGATTTATTATAATCAATATACAAACTGCCAAATATTGCACATACTTCCTCAATTACCTTGTATATATATATACAGGGTGATTGAGGAGGTATCTGCAATATTCCGAGAGGTAATAGTATTATTGATGATGATTTTAAGCAAAAAGGATCATATAAACATGGGTATGCGACAAAAATCTTATTACATTTTCTAATACATAGGCCAATTAACACGAGAAGCTCGTCAAAACTGAATACTCTCATTCTGTAATAATATAGTCCTTGATTAAATTGTTTAGTTGATAAAAAATCGTTATTGCTTCTTGACGTCGATTAAACAGTTTAGTCGATGTAAATTCGATAGTATGCGCCCAGCCGGAGGCTATTATAGGCAATAGAATGTTTATTCTATGTGCAGTTATTAGTAGTTAGTTGTCACATCGTTGTCAGTCTTTGTCTTTCATTTCTATCTTTCCATACGCATGGTGTTCTTTCCACGTTATAACCAGAATATCTCGGTAACCGTTAGGAATAGGACCATGTTCATATAATCCTTTTTGCTTAAAATTATCAGTACTATTACACACACTTCCCGGAATATAGCAGATTCTTTCTCAATTACCCTCTATATAATCAATTTATACATAAGTATATTACGTTGTCAATGTTCGACATTTCGAAGAACGCGTTTTTTTATTATGTCAGCAGGTACGGTTTTTAAGTCGTAAGCCAAACCTAAATAAGCGCAAAAGTCAATGAAAGCTGTGGTACAATTGAGTGCATAATTTCCAAGTTCAGCCGTTTTGTAGTCCCAAGGAAACACGTGATGATAGTTATGCCAGCCTTCACCAAACGCTACGATAGCAACTCCAGCATTGTCGACGGAACTAAGTGATCTGCTTAATAAAATAAATGTTTTAAAATAACAACACAAATATTACATATTCTAATATATAGACCATTATAAACAATTTACTAATTTTAGTAATAATTTAATAGAAATACGTGTATATCTGATAAATCAGAAATGGCACAAGTACGTACTTGTCGTATGGTTTCATACCCCACATGTGAGCCACGGAATTCACCGAAAAAGCAGAATTCAAGTTTAACAAATATCTGCAGACCACAAGATTCCACGAACACCACAAACTCTCATTCCATGCCCACCATGGTACTAACGTTGGTATGATAAAACAGAAGAGTAACATCAAATACATGTACCACCTAAAAAATAAAATGTTAATGCAAAATAACAGAGATCAACTATAAAGTCATGTTTAATCGGCTAGATCTCGTTTCCGCGAAAACAAACTGTACCATCATACTTTTTTTGAAATACCACGAATGGATCTTGCATCAGATCACTGCAATCGATTGTAGCACCTTTTCTCGCGACATCAGGATGATGTCGAATCAGAAGCCACCCTATATGCGAAAAAAAGAATCCTCTGCGCGAGTTATACGGGTCCGCGTCGGTGTCGGTAAATTTATGGTGCACTCGGTGGTCCCTGGCCCACTTATAAATACTTTCCTAAAAAATATAATGCAGAGAACGACGATACAATTATGCTGATGAAAAATTTTATTAAGAAAACAGAATGTACAGGGCCCTATATAGTCTATTCAGATATGTCATCCTGTACGACTTTAAGCGAGAGGAGAAAAGTTAAACTTACTTGAAAGGCGATGCTCTGAAAAATCATTAGGATAAATCTCATGGGCCATTTTGCCTTGTAAGATCGATGGGCCCATAATCTATGAGCACCAGCGGTGACGCCCATGCTCGCGGCCAAACCAACGACAAAAACTATAAATTATAAATTACAGTTTGATAAAGTGAAAGGTAATCTAGCATTACGGGAAGAAATATTTAAATATAATACGTACGCCATATAACCGACTGATATTTAGCCTGGAAACAAAGCACGTATAGCCCGTAAAAGCCAGCAAGATAGGTATAGGCAAAAATGATGACATTTTGCCAAATAATTTTCCATTCGTAATCGGTTTTGTATGATTCTTTTGTCAATGCCTTGTCACTTATAGATTTTCCGAATTTTGTTGCAGACATTTCAGACAAGTCCGATGCGTTTTCCGATACGTTTTTCTATGCGTTTATTGAAACAAAGAAACTTATTTTCTAATTGTAATAACTAAGATAAAATTAATATAGGGTCAATAGTACGTAGTCTTGAATCGCGAGAACTAAACTTTCTTAATTACTTACTTAAAAAACAAGTAAGATAATAAATAAATATATTTTGACGGAGAAACAAGAAATGATTAAATTAAGACGTTATATCGCTCATTTGCTACAACAATGACAACTCAAAAGACAAAATATTCCAAAAAATTAGTGTAAATGTTTTGAATCATTAAAATTTTTAATATTATACTTTTAAAAACGATTTTGATCCAATAATACTGATTGTAGAGGAACAAAAATATCTAGCTATATATTAGCTCTTTATTCAATGTATTGAATTTTTACTCTTTTTTTGCAAACAGTTAAAAAATGACAATTTTTTAATTATGTCATTGTTGTAGCAAAGCGATATATGCACTGGTCACTGAAGATTCTTTATTACACAATATTTATATGCTATATTCTTTTGTGAAAAAAGCGATTTTTTGAGAGCACTTACCTGCCTCGAATGACTGTGACACTTACAAATGCCTCTGCCACAATTAAATTTTTTTACATTGATATATATAG